ATAGATAGATAGATAGATAGATAGATAGATAGATAGATAGATAGATAGATAGATAGATAGATAGATAGATAGATAGATAGATAGATAGATAGATAGATAGATAGATAGATAGATAGATAGATAGATAGATAGATAGATAGATAGATAGATAGATAGATAGATAGATAGATAGATAGATAGATAGATAGATAGATAGATAGATAGATAGATAGATAGATAGATAGATAGATAGATAGATAGATAGATAGATAGATAGATATAATATATAGATTGATAGATATTTAGATAGATAGATAGATAGATAGATAGATAGATAGATAGATAGATAGATAGATAGATAGATAGATAGATAGATAGATAGATAGATAGATAGATAGATAGATAGATAGATAGATAGATAGATAGATAGATAGATAGATAGATAGATAGATAGATAGATAGATAGATAGATAGATAGATAGATAGATAGATAGATAGATAGATAGATAGATAGATAGATAGATAGATAGATAGATAAGATAGATAGATAGATAGATAGATAGATAGATAGATAGATAGATAGATAGATAGATAGATAGATAGATAGATAGATAGATAGATAGATAGATAGATAGATAGATAGATAGATAGATAGATAGATAGATAGATAGATATATAGATAGATAGATAGATAGATAGATAGATAGATAGATAGATAGATAGATAGATAGATAGATAGATAGATAGATAGATAGATAGATAGATAGATAGATAGATAGATAGATAGATAGATAGATAGATAGATAGCGCAGTGGTGCAATTCCAAACAGGCCCAAATAGATCAATAAATAATCCATAAAATTCATGTAAGAACTACAATATAGCATTAAAATATTTTGGATACGAATTATAATGGTATTTATTAAAGTTAATAAAAACAAACATTTACAAATTCAATAATTTCAGACTTTAACGTTTGAAAATACAATATCGAGAAGATCAATTCAAAAAAAATCCTTCTGAAATTGTCTTATTAATAACATAATATGCTTACAAAATTGTGCTGGGATATAAAAACTAGTTATAATCATTAAGCTTTGTTAGTAGTACATATATATTTACAGACATGTGACTTGGGATCAATGATGTCGTTATCACTCCTAAAGTAAGTCGTCTACTGTTGAACTTCGATAGACCTCTTTAATTATATGTAATTGCGAAGAAAAAAAGGAAAACTTTTATTATCTATATAGTCACATGTTAATATTTTTGTAATAATAAAAAAAAAATATAAAAACAAAAAAGGACCGGGAACAGCAGCCGTTAAAAATAGGTTTATAAATTGAAAATAAAATGAGTTCAATTGAAAATATAATTATTTGTTTACAAAATATTAATTTTATAATGTGATAACAACAATTAATAAATAATTATGTACATATGTAAATATATATTTATGTAAGTAAAGGTATGGATGGTTAAATGGATGAAAACAAAACATCATGGAATTTTTGCCGAAAATATTATGGATGTGTATGTATGTATATTTTTGCAAATTTTTTCATTAGGGTATATTTTTATATATCACCACGTAAGAGATCATATAAAACAAGTAAGAGTGTTATATTCGGCTGTGCCGAATCTTGTATACCCACCATCAAATCATTGCCAAAAAGGAATGCTTCCTTATAAATAAACTTTGATATTTAAGAATCGATGCTTTTGTTATTATCAAAACAATTTTCTCATTTATTACATCTATGTATAGGGAAATTTTTGTCGAATTTTGTCGCTGTCCTTGTATTTTTAAGGTAGCAAAAAGCGTTAAAGTTATTTTCTGAGGGGACGTTTGGTCAATTATGGACCGATCCTCGTCAAATTTTCTATAACGATTTTAGTTTAGGCTAGTAATGAGCGTCAAAAGCCATTTTTCGAAGGGAACTGTATATGGGGGTTGGATAAATTATGGACCGATCGTTATAAAATTTTACAAAGCGATTTAGGTTTCTATAGAATAAGTTTATGTCGAATTTCATCGCTATAGATGCTTCTTTTAGACAATTATGAACCTTAAAGCCATTTTCTGAAGGGGACCTTATATGGGGGGTAGGGTCAATTATGGACCGATCCTTATAAAATTTTACAATGATATTAAAGATTCTATAAAATATGTTCGTGTCGAATTTCTATAGATGCTTATTTTAGACCATTCTGAGCGTCAAAGTATTTTTCTGAAGGGGACCTTATATGGGGAGTAGGGTCAATTATGAACCGATCCATATACAATTTTACAAAGCGATTTAGGTTCCTATAAAATATGTTCATCTCGAATTTCATCGCTATAGATGCTTCTTTTGGACAGTTATGAGCGTTAAAGTCATTTTCTGAAGGGGACCTTATATTGGGGGTAGGGTCAATTATGGACCGATCCTTATAAAATTTTACAATGATATAAAGGTTCCTAAAAAATATGTTTAAGTCGAATTTCATCGCTATAGCTGCTTTTTTAGACATTTATGAGCGTTAAAGTCATTTTCAGAGCGGGACCTTATATGGGGGATAGGGTCAATTATGGACCGATTCTTATAAAATTTTACAATAATATTAAGGTTCCAAAAAGATATGTTTAAGTCGAATTTCATCGCTATAGCTGCTTTTTTTAGTCAGTTATGAGCGTTAATGTCGTTTTCTGAGGGGGACCTTATAGGGGGGATAGGGTCAATTATGGACCGATTCTTATAAAATTTTACAATGATATTAAGGTTCCAAAAAAATATGTTTAAGTCGAATTTCATCGCTATAGCTGCTTTTTTTAGTTAGTTATGAGCGTTAATGTCACTTTCTGAGGGGGACCTTATATGGGGGATAGGGTCAATTATGGACCGATCCTTATAAAATATTACAATGATATTAAGATTCCTATAAAAGTGGAATTGAATGTATTTACGTTTTGGCTATGAGGTATTTTAATATTGTAGTATATCAATTTTTACTTTTTATTTAATTTAATTTATTACTTTTATTTAAATCATAATTTTAAATATGAAAAAAATCATTTTTATGTAAACTATTCATACGTAGAAATTTATAACCGATTATGGCCTATATAGGCTAGGTTATTGAAATAAAGAATTTGAAATTGAAAAAAAATTGAAAATATGTTTATGTCGAATTTCATCGTTATAGCTGCTTTTTTTAATCAGTTATGAGCGTTAAAGTCATTTTCTGAGGAGGACCTTATATGGGGGATAGGGTCAATTATAGACCGATCCTTATAAAATTTTAGAATGATATTAAGGTTCCTAAACAATATGTATATGTCGAATTTCATCGCTATGGCTGCTCTTTTTAATCAGTTATGAGCGTTAAAGTCATTTTCTGAGGGGGACCTTATAGGGGGGATAGGGTCAATTATGGACCGATTCTTATAAAATTTTACAATGATATTAAGGTTCCAAAAAAATATGTTTAAGTCGAATTTCATCGCTATAGCTGCTTTTTTTTAGTCAGTTATGAGCGTTAGTGTTATTTTCTGAGGGGGACCTTATATGGGGGATAGGGTCAATTATGGACCGATCCTTATAAAATATTACAATGATATTAAGATTCCTATAAAATATGTTTATGTCGAATTTCATCGCTATAGCTGCTTTTTTTAATCAGTTATGAGCGTTAATGTCATTTTCTGAGGAGGACCTTATATGGGGGATAGGGTCAATTATAGACCGATCCTTATAAAATTTTAGAATGATATTAAGGTTCCTAAACAATATGTATATGTCGAATTTCATCGCTATGGCTGCTCTTTTTAATCAGTTATGAGCGTTAAAGTCATTTTCTGAGGGGGACCTTATATGGGGGATAGGGTCAATTATGGACCGATCCTTATAAAATTTTACAATGATACTAAGATTCCTAAAAAATATGTTTATGTCGAATTTCATCGCTATAGCTGCTTCTTTTAGTCAGTTAAGAGCGTTAATGTCATTTTCTGAGGGGGAACTTATATGGGGGCTAGGCGAAATCGTGGACCCATTTTCAATACCAAACAAACTGCATCAATATAAAATATTTGTGCAAAATTTCAGCTCGCTAGCTGCTTCCGTTTGGACTCTATCGTGTTTTCAACAGACGGACAGACAGACGGACAGACGGACGGACATGGCTAGATCGTCTTAGAATTTAATGAGGATCCAGAATATATATACTTTTATGGGTCTTAGATGAATATTTCGATGTGTTACAAACGGAATGACAAAAACAATATACCCCCCATCTTTTTTGATGGTGGGTATAATAAATAATAAAAATCGTTTCGAGGATCATATTGACAAAAAAAATCTTACACAAAAATCCTAATTGTACAAATTATTTGACCAAAAAGGATTTAAAATTATCATTCAAAAAACAAATTAAAGTCTACAATTAGAAATGATCATTGACTTAAAGCTAAATAATAATTAAACGAAACTTATCCTAACAATTGAAAACATAATTGCAATTAAAATATGATATCCAAATAACAAAACCAACAATATAATTAAAATTTAACTTTTTAAGACATTTGTACAACCAATTACAACTGGATTATTTACCTGGTCCATGTAGACGAAATATTATCACAAAAACAAACAAATTGCATACCAACATTTAGTCAAAAGAAAAGCTAGCAGAATAAGCAGAAAAAAAACATTTAATTAATAAAAAATATAAACAAATAAGACAGATAAGAGTCGGTGTTATCGTGGGAAGAACGAGAGCAATCGTTGACTGCTAGCCGTCAGAGCGAAGAAAAAAAATAACAATAACAAAATGTCTCGTGAAATAAGATGAAAATTTAACACACGTACTAAATAGCTTTAGTAGACAACAAACAGATAGATTCTAAGTTAAATACTTGAAGAATATAATTGTTAAGAAATAAAATAATTTGTTGTATATGTGTAGATAGATAGAGAAGACAAACGAACCGAAAGCCACATACAGATATCAAACAACCACTCAGCTAACCAACCAACCATCAATGCAACCAAACGACAGAACGTTATACTTTGTAGAGGAAAAAATGTAAAAAGTTAAGTTTTAACCGAGCACAGCCAACAGTATTTCACGAGAGTTTAAGCAAGAAAAACCTATAAAAATAAACAGCGTTTTGAAAATTGTTTTATTTGAAAAAAATAACGGTCAATAAATAAATAATAGAAAGAAAAACTTAATAAAAACAAACAATCAAGTGATAATATTTAAACTATTTGTTGTAAATATTTGTAATTAAATGAAACATTAAAATATTGTGATTTTTTTTGCACAAAATTACCTTGTGCATTTTGAATACCGTGAAATTTGAGTAGTCAAATACAGCAACAACTATTCTAAAGTCTAGTATATGTAAAATAGTTAGTAAATAAGTATATACAGTGAATCAACTAAGTTTTTTGCCTACCTTTTTTTGTAAGAGAATTTTGTTTTTTGTTCATAAATAAAATTCAAAAAAACAGGTAGAAAGTAAATTTATGTTTTCCAATTGAAAATAGAGATTGTGTAGAATGGGAAAACCAAGAAAAAAATATTAAAATAAAAATTTTGTTGCATTTTATTATTTTTCATCAGAATTTGCACGTCAATAAAGTATTTTGCATATTGAAATTTCCAGTTAATTTCGTTGGGTTTCTCAAATTATTTTTTAATTGCTTTTTGGAATTTATTGTTTTATTGTTAAAAGGACACGTGTTAAGTATTTTTCAATTGGAATTTTCAAAAATCATATCCTTATTGTGTGAAACTGTGTAGTTATTTGCGTTAAAAATGTTTAAATATAAAAAATATAAAAAAATTAATTTAGATTTTTAGAACAAGTATAAATCAATGAAATTCAATTATGAGATGTTTAATCAATCATTAAAAAATATAAAATATAGAAATTGATGAAATAACACAAAGAATTATTTAAAAAACGCACTGAGTTGTCTTTCAAAATCTTTAACTGCCAAAGGAGAGCAACTTGTATCCCAGCAAAAACCATTGAAGTTCTCATTTATCTTCTCCAAAGTCCATATACGAACTTAAAAGAACACTATGTTTAAATTTAGACCTCTAAACAGACCTTAGGTTGCTTGGAAACAATATAAAGTGAACTATCGTGTGGTACGGGAAAAATACTTAATTTAGGTATTTACAAATAGAGGCGGTTCTCATCACCTAAGATCCACAAAAGCAATATTTTTCAGCTAATACATACACTTATATATAGTTAGAACCCAAATCAAGAATAACTATCCAAATCCAGCTACGCCTACTGTATTTTATTCATAAAATAATGCATTCAAAATATGAGGTAGAATATCAAAATTCTAGCATGTAATAGTTCTATAGTGGTATACGGTGATATCCCCATACTTAGAGTGGTTGGGATGGTACTTAGTGTAAGCTTTATTGAATAAGAATCAATATTATACAATTCTAAATAAAATTCACACAGTACTCCCCAAATAGATGGGGTTTCCGTAATGTAGTTTTTGTTTATCAATACAAAATGACCAAAAACCCAGATTATTTTTGTTATAATCTATTGATTTATACCCCACTAATATTTTTTTTCTAGGTCCAAATCCATTGATTTCCTAATATATCATGTATCCAATTCAAAATTACTTATTATTTTCGAAATTAAATCAAAGAAACGATAGATTTCATGTTAAGTAAAATATTGAAAAATTCTTATAGGTATATAGGATAATAAATCGGTTAAGAAATGTCCAAACTTAGTCGTTCCACTACTAAAATATCTAAAAAATTATATTCTAATATATAGGAGTAATAAAAATATTAAATTTTATAAAATAATGCAGCAATATTAAAAAAATTAACAAAAAACCTAAAAAAGCAAAATACTTTATCGACCTTAAAAATTAACAATACGTTCACATTTTATCAAAAATCTCGTTAATTAATATCACGATTTTACTTTTTATGGTAGAAAATTAAAATATAAGATATTCTTTAAAAAATACAACAAGCAAATTGCTTTATTTTGCTAAAAATATTTGTTCAGATAAAGTTTTTTCTTAAAATTTATAAAAATTTACATAGGCAAATTACTTAATTGATTCACTGTATATGAATAGAAGATAGTATGGTAATGGTGCTTGTGCTTTAACAGTCAACTAACTTGAAAATCACCGTATTTGCGGTTGAGAAAGCCCTGTGTATTATATACATTACAAAAAGTATATTAAATAAAATTAAAAAAAAAATTGTTATTGTTTTTACATTCACTTTAAATTAAACATCATAGTAAAATCTCTTAGTGTCCACATAGTTAAAATAAACCTAAAATGTTTCGCGCCTCCCAAATTGCTAGTGAAGAAAGTAAGTTTTTTGTATCATTCTAATATACCAAATAAACAAGATAACTAAATTAGTTAATACAATTTTACATCTAATATATACAACATAAATTTTATCAAATTTTTTTTTAAAGCTTTACCTGCTTTGGGTGTATTAACCCTAAAAGATAATGAATCAGAAATCTCAAAATTAACTTCATTGAAATCCAAACAAGGAAATATTAAAACTGAAGGTTATGGCCTTGTAACACAATTAACACCCAGAGGTATTAGATATCCTAGGGCCATAATATTTGTTTTAATGGCGAAATTATTTGAAGCCTTTGCTGCAAATGGTATAAGGAGTAAGTATTTCTTATAATTATTATATGTTGTCAATTGTTATTTTTTATTGGAAAATAAAACCTTAAAATCATTAACGTGTATTATCAACAAAAACCAACACCTACATTAATGAGAATAATATTGTAATATTTACTTTGTTATTAGAAAAAGTGTCTCTGAATACAATACGGATTAAAGTCTATAGTCTGGACAATTGCCTAATGTCTATAGTTAAATCTGAACTGTGGTCTATAATGTGTAGCTTGTACTAAAGTATACAATATACTCTATAGTCTAAATTACAATCTAGTCTATAAAGTCTGGACTGCGACCTATGGTCTGGACTTTATTCTAGTCTATAGTCTGTACTGTTATCTAGACTATAGTATGGAATATAGTCTAGTCTATAACCTAAACTAAGTCTAGTCTATAGTCTAATCTATAGTGTAGTCTTAAGTCGTCTATAGTGTTACCTTTAGGTTTGTCTACTCTATAATCTAGTCTATAGGGTAGATTATAGTATTGTCTAGTCTATAGTCTTGTCTATAGTCTAGTCTATAGTCTAGTCTATAGTCTAGTCTATAGTCTAGTCTATAGTCTAGTCTATAGTCTAGTCTATAGTCTAGTCATAGTCTAGTCTATAGTCTAGTCTATAGTCTAGTCTATAGTCTAGTCTATAGTCTAGTCTATAGTCTAGTCTATCGGTCTAGTCTAGTCTGTCTATAGTCTAGTCTATAGTCTAGTCTATAGTCTAGTCTATAGTCTAGTCTATAGTCTAGTCTATAGTTAGTCTATAGTCTAGTCTATAGTCTAGTCTATTAGTCTAGTCTATAGTCTAGTCTATAGTCTAGACTAGAGTCTAGTCTATAGTCTAGTCTATAGTCTAGTCTATAGTCTAGTCTATAATCTAGTCTATAGTCTAGTCTATAGTCTGGTCTATAGTCTAGTCTATAGTCTAGTCTATAGTCTAGTCTATAGTCTAGTCTATAATCTAGTCTATAGTCTAGTCTATAGTCTAGTCTATAGTCTGGTCTATAGTCTAGTGTATAGTCTAGTCTATAGTCTAGTCTATAGTCTAGTCTATAGTCTAGTCTATAGTCTAGTCTATAGTCTAGTCTATAGTCTAGTCTATAGTCTAGTCTATAGTCTAGTCTATAGTCTAGTCTATAGTCTAGTCTATAATCTAGTCTATAGTCTAGTCTATAGTCTAGTCTATAGTCTAGTCTATAGTCTAGTCTATAGTCTAGTCTATATTCTAGTCTATAGTCTAGTCTATAGTCTAGTCTATAGTCTAGTCTATAGTCTAGTCTATAGTCTAGTCTATAGTCTAGTCTATAGTCTAGTCTATAGTCTAGTCTATAGTCTAGTCTATAGTCTAGTCTATAGTCTAGTCTATAGTCTAGTCTATAGTCTAGTCTATAGTCTAGTCTATAGTCTAGGCTATAGTCTAGTCTATAGTCTAGATAGTCTAGTCTATAGTCTAGTCTATAGTCTAGTCTATAGTCTAGTCTATAGTCTAGTCTATAGTCTAGTCTATAGTCTAGTCTATAGTCTAGTCTATAGTCTAGTCTATAGTCTAGTCTATAGTCTAGTCTATAGTCAGTCTATAGTCTAGTCTATAGTCTAGTCTATAGTCTAGTCTATAGTCTAGTCTATAGTCTAGTCTATAGTCTAGTCTATAGTCTAGTCTATAGTCTAGTCTATAGTCTAGTCTATAGTCTAGTCTATAGTCTAGTCTATAGTCTAGTCTATAGTCTAGTCTATAGTCTAGTCTATAGTCTAGTCTATAGTCTAGTCTATAGTCTAGTCTATAGTCTAGTCTATAGTCTAGTCTATAGTCTAGTCTATAGTCTAGTCTATAGTCTAGTCTATAGTCTAGTCTATAGTCTAGTCTATAGTCTAGTCTATAGTCTAGTCTATAGTCTAGTCTATAGTCTAGTCTATAGTCTAGTCTATAGTCTAGTCTATAGTCTAGTCTATAGTCTAGTCTATAGTCTAGTCTATAGTCTAGTCTATAGTCTAGTCTATAGTCTAGTCTATAGTCTAGTCTATAGTCTAGTAGTCTAGTCTTAGTCTAGTCTATAGTCTAGTCTATAGTCTAGTCTATAGTCTAGTCTATAGTCTAGTCTATAAACTAGGCTATAGTCTAGTCTTTAGTATAGTCTTTAGTATAGTCTATAGTCTGGTTTATAATCTAGTCGATATTCTAGGTTATAGTCTAGACTGTAGTTTATAGTCGTATTTTTAAGGAAAATCGAAAAAACTGATTTTACGATTTTTAGCAAAAAACTTGAATTTTAGTAGAAATTTATATTTTCACTGAGAATTCTTCCTTCTACAATCTCATTCAAAATTTTAAAGATTTATTAAAAAAATTAATACTTTAATGGTGATTCATTTAATAAAGATAAATATTAACCTAAAGGTGCATTAAAAAATGTTTTTAATTTTTTAAAAAATGGGTCTATGACGCACACATTTTTATTTTTGAGAGTTGAAAATTTTAAATATTTAAATTTAGAAATATATTAAAAAAAATAAATTGCAATAATTTTGAATAAAATAAAAATGGAAGTAAGTGCTAAGTACAGTGAACGCTAATAAAATATATTTTTGTTAAAAACAACTAACATACAGTTAAATGATAGAACTCAAAATCTATTAATAATTGTGAAAAGTGCAGACCGATTTTGAACAAATATTTTCAGTATTAAAACTTATGTTTTGAATTAAAAATTTACATTTAATAAAAGTATTTATAGGAAAATTGTACTCTCCATTGTGATTATTTGCATTCTTTCTTTATGAATGCACTAAATTATTTTGTTTTATAAACACATTTTTTTTGTTGTCGCAATTAATTCAAATAAGAAAATTATCAGTTTTATTCTAGCTTTTTGGTTTTGTTTTTGTTTTGTCTTGCATTCAAATGAATCAAATCATAATCTTTGTTGGTGTGATTTATCTGTTTTTGTTTTGTTGAAAAAAAAAAAAAAAATAACAAGTTCAGGACCTTAAAAAGAGATTTGATTTAATAAGTACACATTTTTTAATTTGTTTCTATATTATTTTCAGCTATATTGGCGTTATACCTACGCGACGATTTGTATTTCAGCGAAAGTTTGTCAACAATTGTTTTGCATATTTTCAATTTCTTTGGTCAATTTTGCCCTATATTTGGAGCTATACTAGCCGATAGCTATATAGGCAATGTACGGACTATAACGGGTTTTTATTTTCTTTATGCATTTGGTTGGATTTTATTGGTATTGACGGCACTGCCTTATATGGGTATATCGTTGGTGTAAGTTTGAAAACCCAAAATGATCTTTGAACAGATTTCAATAAAACTCTAACGTTTTGAATTCTATAGACAATAGTCTGAAAGATAGGCTAGTCTTGTCTATAGTCTAATTTAAAGCCTGGTCTATAGTTTAGTATATTGTCTAGTTTATAGTCTAGTCTATAGTCTAATCTATAGTCTAGTTTATAATCTAGACTATAATCTATAGTCTGGTCTACAGTTAAGTCTATCGTTTAGACTGTAATGTAGCCTTCATAGTTTACTTCACAGTCTGAACTAAACTTTCTTCGTTATAGCTTTCTAGTTTCCATATCCTTACTCTTCATAGCCATTGGTAATGGTTCTTCGAGAGCGTGTCTTACCTCTTTGGGTGCCATACAATTTCAATTGCCTCAACAGGCCAAACAATTGGCGGAATATTTTAGTCTCTACTATTTTGTATATTATGTGGGTATATTTCTGAGTAAAATCTTACCGCCCATGGTAAGAGCCAATACAACCTGTTTCAATAAGTCGGGCTGTTATCCGGCAGTATTTGGTACTTTGGGTACCTCGTTTTTTGTAGCTTGGTGTAAGTATTTTACATAAAAAGTTTGAAAATATTAATATTAAAATTCTTACCTTAAAAGTAACCTTCTGCATTGGCAAATTGTATTATAAGGAAGAAAAATTAAGTGCAGAAAATATACTGCTAAAATTCTATGGTTGTATTAAACATGCTTTGGCTAGGAAATGGTCTAAAAATGCTGATGTAGTGAAACGTTCCTATTGGTTGCACTATGCGGTGGGGAAGTATGAGGATAGTTTTGTCAATGATGTGGCTAAAGTTTTAAAGGTAGATATTTTATAAAATTTTGTTATAAATAATTCTTTAAATTACCTTTCGTTTGTAGCTGGCCAAATTATTTCTTCCCTTGCCTATTTATTTTGCTTTATTGGCTCAACAGGACTCCAGTTGGACTTTTCAGGCTTCACAAATGAATACAACCATAGTGCCGGGCGTAACTATACAACCGGATCAAGCCAAAGCTATGGGTCCCATATTTCTATTCATTTTAATACCTCTATGGCAGTATTTAATGAAACCTTGTTTGAAATGTTGTTTTAACTATGAGCTGCAACCCTTGCAAAGTGTTACTTTGGGTGGAGTATTTTCAGCATTTTCTTTTATATGTGCTGGCGTTCTACAAAGATATATTTTAGTAAGTTTACTTTGTTTTTAAATATAAATAATATGCAATTATACTTTCCTTATTATGACAGTCTATGCCTTATAAATCGGTTAATGTTTTATGGCAAATACCACAATTTGTTTTGATCATGTTGGGTGAGTTATTGCTGTCCATACCCGGTTTACAATTTGCCTTTACACAAGTAAGTTTTCTTCATTTTAAGCAAATTTCACATAAAATTATACCCTTTTCTTCCTTTAGGCTCCCGCTTCCATGAAATCGGTGGTTACAGCTGCCTGGTTTTTAAATAATGCCTTTGGCAATCTTATTGTAGTGTTAATAACCGAACTGAATATTTTTCCCACACAAAGTGATGAATTTTTCTTTTATGCCATTTTAATGATAGTGGCCATAGTTATTTATACTTTCTTGGCCTATGATTATGCTTTACAAGAACGTCTGGGTCATCATTATGCTAGTCAAAGTTCTTTGGAAATGTCAGAAAATACTCCTCTATATAATGTAAGAGATGAAGCACCCAGTACAAGTAATACGAATGAACAAGTTGTTGATTTTTAAATGGTAGTAGTATTAAATTATGTTATTTTTAATGCGAAAAAAGTGATAGTTAAATTATTTTGTTGCTAGTTTTAAGAAGCATGAAACGATTTTTATGAAATAAAAGATTTTATAAAATTATTTATATTTAACTATAATAAAAAATAAACAACATATTTGTATATAAGGCAGGAATGTTTAGAAAGTTTTTAGAAGTCCTAAAATTAATCTAAAATTTTGAATAGATATTGTATTTCCAATATGGTATCATCAGGTAAATCTGTACAATGGACGGCATTTAAGGTTTTACTAGAACCATATTTGGCTCTTAAAGTATGAGGACGTAAAAGTTTAGCTATTTCCTAAAAAAATTAAAATTCCTTATTCCTTTAAAGTTAAAATCTTAAAACTGTTCCACCTACCGGATCCATAGGTCCACAAAATTTACGAAATTCTTCGTAACTACTTTTATTGGCATCTGTACAAACAATTTCCAGAGACATACTAACACCACTGGCTAACTGAGAAACCATAGGCTGGAAAAAGCAAAGCAATGAAACCATGAGATTTTTGTCACTCTATGTTAACGACCTCCGATAAAACTTACTATATACTCTGGCACGATACCTCTGTAAACTTCATAAAATTCACTACAATTCACCTTTTCCAAAATATGCATTCTTAAGGCGGTTATTTTGAAACCATTGGAGGTTATTTCCTTTATTATTTTACCCAAGTTACCCTCTTTAATGGCATGAGGTTTAATAACTGCTAAAGTGGAATTTTTAAGTTGTACGGCAATTTGTAAACCACTTTGTTTATCGAAAAAGAAATTAGTGTCCTAGAAATTTATAACGTTTTTTATATAATTTAAATTATAATAAAATCAAAAGGTCTTAACAAAAAAACTTTTATAATATTGTTTACAAAATTTAAATATTGTATAATTATAGTTACCTTTATAAATTACATAGCATTCAAATTATTAAGAACGAAATTTTAAGATCGCTTATTTGTTAAGTGATAAAATGTGTAATAAAAAAAAAACTTACCCTTTCAACATCCTCTTCGTTTTGTGAACAATAAACACCATTTCGTATATCTTCTCTTTCAAATAGACTAATCAAAGCTTTTGGTATATCACTACTATTCAATTCATTCCCAGATTGATTTACACAATTTTTAATCTTTTCCACAGCATTATCAGCGATTAATTCAAATCCTATAGAAGGACCCATCAGCAATTGATTCATAAGTACCCTTTAAAGAATATTGACAAATATAGAAACATGTCTTTAAACTACGATCTTTATAACTTACGAAGTTTGTACATCTCCTTTATTGCGCTCATTTAAAAACTCTTTAACTTGTTCGGCGGTAAAGTGTACCATTAAACCTTTACTTATGCTAAAATTGCTATCAATTAAAGAGCATAATACTAGGCCCAAATGTTGTAGTATACTATTTTTGAGTAAAATAAAAGTTCTGAAATGAAATTTATACTTTAGTAGAAAAAAATTATAATATAATAGATTTTACTTACTTTTTCCGATATTTGGCTAAAGTATTTTTTGTTATATCATCACCATAGTCTACTATATCAAATTGTCTACCGAAAACATTAATTTTGGAACCTACAAAAAAATCCCTTTCCGTCAAATCGGTCATTTTAATGCGTCTTAAAAAGGTTTTCTTCGTACGTTGATCGAACTAGGAGGAAAGTTTTTATTTAGATTTTGTTTTATTGATGTTTTTTTAATATACATAGGTATGAATAGTATATGAAACTTACCACTTCTATGGTATTATCTTGTACATAGTATAAAATTGTAAAGGTACGTATTATACCAGCTTCTTCCTGATACCATTCGGCTATAAAACAAAGGCGCCTTGTATTGCGAGTAGCCTTTAAGAAAAAAATTTAAGTAATGAGTTATTTACGATGAAGTGCTTTATATGTATGCTAACTTTGACAAGTTATGGGCCGAAAATTTCTCAGATTAATTTGTATATAAGAACCATTATTAATTCATGAGTAATTTACGATCAAATGATTTATGGAAAATTACTTTATATGGAAGCTGAGACCAATTATGGGCCGATCCAGAAAAAAATTAAATAAATTAAATAATTTATGTATATACATAACACATTTGTGTTCATTTTAATATTATTAATTTTATTCCGATATGGTTATTTGTTAATAAATTATGTTTACTTAATTGATTTTCGGAAGTAGACTTTGTATGGATGATAGTTTAGTTAGTAAAACGATTTCTGATTACCTATTTGATTTATATATGTAATTTTTTGTTAATATCGATATTAACAATAAATCCCTATTTCCCATTTAAAAACAATAAAGTGTGTAGTACTGGTTGCGAACGGAATTTAAGAAATATTTCAAGGTGTCTTTCCTTAGTTTTAATTTGGATATTTCAAAGTTATTCTTTTCTAATTTTTCTTTCAATGACAATACAAGGCATGAAATTGACGACTCTTCCTAGTGGTTCTACCTGGTTATGGTTGTTTCATGGTAAAAGTTATAAAAAATGCTATAAAAATACAATTATTGTAAGAAAAATTTTAAAAAATTTAATTTTGCCAATTCTGCTTTATTCCTAAACAGATTTTTAACCAATTTAAATTTTTAAACGGCTAACACTTTAATAAACATATTATTTTCAACTTACCATTACTATTTTATTAAAAAATTGTTTAAATTTGCAAAAAAATAATAATTCAATTTCCTGACCGGCAAATAAAAACTAATCAAAATAAACAATTACAAATTCCGGTTGCTATAGGCAAAGTTTAGAGCCGAGCAAATTTTTTCAACGGCGGTAAATAACTAAAATAATATGACACAGCAATGAAGCGAATAAAAAATAGTGGACATAATGAAGAAATAAAGTTTGAAATAGTCAAATTTTGAGAATTTTATTCAATTTCTTACAGATTTTTACAAAACTCATGTTAATATCAAGCTGAATTATTTTTGACGCCGTTAGTTTTAACAAAAAACTTTGGCACATCGACTTTCAGTTGCCAGGGCAATTTTGTTGTGACAACATACACAATGTTGCCAGTTTATAAAAATAGAAATCTAAAAACACCATGTAACGGGCAATGCCAGGTGGTTTTTGTATATATTTTTCTTTTTATTATAGAGAACTAATTAATTAAGGAATTTATTTCACTTTAAACAGTTAAAATAAAACATGTCTAAAAATGGTATAAATGAAATAAAGAAAATTTTAAATTTAGAAATTTCTCTTAAAAATAAACATGAACCAATGATGCCAGGCCGTTTAAGTTTTCATTTAAATTTTATATGGAGATTTTATGAATTAAGGGATTCCCCTTTAAAGAAAATAATGCATATGAAAAAAATTTAAATTTGCAATAGAATGAGTAGAAAATTTGCAACATTTGTTGTCTATTCACACAAATTATACTATGAAATTTATGAGGCAAATCCTTATAACAATAAAAAGCCATATAAATATATTTCTTTAATATTTTTCCTTTTTTTGATATTTATAAAATTAAATTTTTATTTTGCAAATAACTCTTAATCGTATGCGGATTATCTTCCTTTATGTACAGGAAACATAAATTTAATAAGAATTTGGTATTTGTCGTTAAGTTAACCTGTTTTTCTGGTATCGTATTAATTTTGTTTAAGGAAAATTAAAAGAAAACTAAAAAAACCCATAATAAATACTTATTAATTGCAACATTATTTTGTGATTGTTCTTTTTTTAATGTATTTTTTCTCTGTTTATATAAAGTGTTTTAATTTTTTCCTTTATATAGAATAATGCTGAAGCATAGTTCTAATATATTTAAGAATAATTTAAATATAATATTTAATTTTGTTTGTATAAGGTTTGTTAATTTCTTCTCCATTAATTAATTAATCAAGGGGTGTATATTATTATTAGTTTTTTTTTTCCAGAAGTCAACATTATCTGTTTAAGGTGTAAATGTGTGATTTTGTTTTATCTTCTTGAATTTAAATATTTTCATAAGAGAATATTACAAATTAATTTTTTGTTGTTTTTTGTTTAAAAAGCAATTAATGTTCATGCTAATATTAAGAGAATTATTTAATATTTTAAAAAGAGTTTAACACTAAATAATTGTTAAACTATTTTTCTTGATCCTTCTTTTCCTCATCCTTTTTGTCATCATCGTCGTCATCGTTTTGTGATAGACTTGGAATATTGTCATCTGAATCATCGTCATCGTCGACATTGAAATCATCAAATCTATTATCCATGCCAGAACCAGCGAGCATGTCATTAAGTAGGAAATTTGAAGAGCCATTATCTGAAATTTTAAAAGAAAAATAATGTTATATTTTTCTTAAATATATATTTTTTTAATTTTTTTTTATTACCTTCTTCATCATCCGACTCATTTTTCCATTTGGTGAAATTGGCTTTAAGGAAATGCAATTTAGTTTTATCATTGGTTAAGGATTTCCAGAAGGGACCTGATTCTTTTTTGTAAATAGTAAATTCAATACATCTGCCAATATTTTTACTTGTGACTTTTTCAGGATTAACAGGATTTAGGAAATTTAATGTGACTTCGTATTTTTTAGTGGCATCTAAAGCATTGGTACCCTTGAATGTAAAATTATTTTCTGTCACGCTATTGGAAATAAGAGATTAAAACAAATTTAGAGCCATTTGGGGATTCTAATGGTATTTTTTTTAATTACTTGTGTTCAATATCCTTGCATTCCACATCGATAATGACGTATAATAGATCACTTCTTTGGGCCCAAGAAATTGGTGGTGGTACTGTTCTGTAATGAGAAAGAAAAAAGAATGTAAATATGAGTTTGTGTTGTTATATTCAGTTATTTAGCACGGTCATAGTTTCCAGTAATTGCCGAAATTTAATTTGAAAACGACAAAAAAAAAAAACGCCCAATTGAAAAAATAAATTGCGATCGCTTTAATTTTATTTCAAATATCTATCTTTAATTGAGAAAATCTGCAATCTTTAACATTTTCTACAATTTTTTATACGAAAAAACCTAAGTTCGACCAAAGATACTTAAATAACGCCCCGATTGGAAAAATAGGTTTATCTTTGATTAATCGGCTATAGATCCTTAAATACTACTCCAACTGAGAAAATATGTTCCAGGTTAACATATGCGTTAGATAAACGTATCTCGAAAAGTAAAAAAATACAACAGAGGTTAAACGGTTATTTCAAATCCGATAGATTGGACTTTAGATGTCAAAAAATTTTATAAATAAACATGCCATCGAGCTCTTATACGTTTAAAAATGGGGTTATCAATCTTTATGACACAATATCATGAAAAACTGATATGATGAATGAATCCTGAATCAATTTTAAGTTCAACACAACTCAATCATTTAAGCGACACGGCCACACATCAAATTGTTTGACTCAAACAGTAAGTTTTTTGATTGTGTTAGTGAAAAAACTCACATGTATCAAAAAACTTACCGTTTGAGTCAATGTGTCGCCAAGGCGCTTTAGAAAAGTATACTTTGGTCTCTGTTGGCCTATCTTATTCCACAATACATGATGACTTTAATTACCCTTCCCTGCCTTTAACCCCAAAACAATATTCACTTCATCTGGCATCCCTTTGCACAAGAAAAAAACAAAAAAAGAAAAACACAGTCTGCATGAAATAGCGGCACAACAACACCACATTAAAAAATAAAAGAAAAACTCACAACAAATTTCGAGAATATGCCAAATGACTAAACATAACCTCAAATAATTACTAATTTCAAAATTAAACATAAAAGCAATTAATTAAATTTAACTAATTAAAAAAAACACTCAAAGAAAAACTATCACTCACCCCCAACTACAATTATTAAAAAGCAACAACAACAAACATTTAAGGAACATGCAATTGAACGAAAAAAATGTACATAATGAATGCCGGGCCTTATAGATGATGAATTGAAAAAACAAAAAGCAATAAAAACACGCGTTTTAACAAGAAAAACATGCAGTTAGACACCAAATAATAAATGGAATATTTCAAGAAATTAACATAAAATTAAGTAAACATTAGCTATAAAGCCATTTATAAATTAATTTATTTAAAAAAGAAGCCAAAAAATTTAAACCCTAAGAGTTTAGTAACCTACCGCCCTGATTTGCTATAACATGGTGTATGTGCGTGCGTGTGTGCATTATAATTATCATGCCTGTGCCTCCTCGTTTTTTTTGTACTTTTTTCAATTCATTCTTTCAATTTGGCACTGTGTAATTCCTCGTTTTTTATTTAGGTTTAATTAAAATATTTCTTGTGTACATACCCTGCTGTTGGAGCCATTTTGTAGTATAGAAGTTATATTTGGTTGTTTTTTATTAATTATTAAAATATTTAAAGGTTTATTTTATATTCCACACCGTAACTAAAAGCGTATATAATGAAAAAGTATTCAACGCCTTTTTTGTCGCTTTTTTTCCTGTGTGTGGCCAGCAGAATGAAATTTGCACCCGATTCCAGAGCCCTGCGCCAACAAATAGTAACGACGGTGACGACTGACACTAAATATGTCGACGGCGGCTTAAAATCGACTTTAAGCCGACTAAGTTTTTTTGTTATGTTTTCGATTTTTTAATAATATATTTTAAAATACTGAAAAATTTATACCAATTTTATAAAAATGTTTGTAATTTATAACATATATAAAGTAGAATAACTAAATATTAAAATTATTGGAAATTATACAAAATATTCCATCTAGTAGACGTAAAAAAAGTCGTCTTAAGAGGAACAATTTTAAGCGGCGGCTAGGCTTAGTCGGCTTTAAATTAAATCGACGCAGATCTCAGCTACTAATTTAATTTTATTGGCATTTTCGTCTTGTCATTTTTGAAGCAGTGCTGTTAACTGACTGTTGGTTATTGGATGTGGAATTCTAGCGATTTTGGCTAGTAAGCAATTTCAAGCGTGTTTTTATTTTATTATGGGAAAATTAGTCACTTTTTCATTAAATAGATTCTTCTTGTAAAATTGAAGCCGACAAATTTTATGTTTATTTTTTTTAATAGGATGAATATTTAAGAAACTGCAGCTAGTTATGTGTTTTTTGTAATATTATAACTTTATGTAAAATTCGAATGATCACGGATTTTCTTTTTTTCTCAGTTGGTTAACTACAGCTAGGTTAAAATATGAACAATTACAGTATTTCGTATAAAAATAGATTGTTGAATCAATATATGAGTTATCATAGATTATCGCAGTGATCAGCTAATTTTATGTTTTTCATATAAAAATGGATTTTTAATGACAATTTTTTTGGCCTTAAGTATAAAATCGAATTTTCATGGAGAATTTTATCACAGCTTTCGCTGGTTTCTTAATTTAGCTTTTTAAAATAAAATTAAATTTTTGCTGAATAATATTAGTCATCATAGATTTTCGGTATTTTATTAAATAAAGCGGCATTAAAGGATCTACAGCCAATTTAAGATTTTTCATATAATCATAGATAAGTTCAGAATTATATTTTTCGAGCCATTATATTTTTGAGACATTTTTTAAACTTTTTGCTAAAAAGTTAGTTTTGCGTTAAAAAAGTTAGACTCAGTAATACTACTTTTTATGTACAGAGTTGTTTCTTCTACGTCTCTTAAATATTTTTAATCATTTTATGAAACACCTTGTTTTCCATTCCATATACGCTGTCAGAGTTGATTGAATGAATTTTTGACATTTTTTCCATTTTCTGTGTAGATTTTTCTCAAACCGAAGAGACACACACTCAGGTTGCTAAACGATTACTTAACCAAATTCTTTATACTTTCGATATTAATTTTGTATTTTCTTGTTAAAAAAAACTCCATATAGAATGTTCCGTCTTGCTGCCAGTCAAGTTTACAACGCTGCACGTAGCTCCATTGGTGTCACTGCCCGTGTAGGTGCTGTGCGTGCTGCCCACGGTCATGAAATCCCTGCCGAAGAATTCGACAAGCGTTATGAAGATTACTTCAACCGCTCCGACATCGATGGCTGGGAGGTACGCAAGGGCATGAACGATTTGTTGGGTATGGATTTGGTACCAGCTCCCAAAATTGTCGATGCTGGTTTGAAAGCCTGCCGTCGTGTTAACGACATTGCCTTGGCCATCAGATGGTTGGAAGGTGTTAAGGATAAGTGCGGTGACAAAACCGATGAAATCTATCCTTACATCATCAACAATGTACGCCCCACTCTCACCGAATTGGGCATTCCCACTCCCGAAGAGTTGAACTATGATAAACCCGAATTGGCCCTTAAATCTGTGTTCGATATGTAAAGAAAAAATTCCTTTGTATTTAACAGAAACATCAGCGATAAGCAAAATTGTGAAGTGTGAGAGGCGATTGTCATTTAGACATAATTAGTTAAATAAATTATGTAAAAAAACAAAACAAAAAACATCTTGTGAAGACGCCACAAACAAATAAAAGTATTCATAAGATATTTACAAAAAAATCCCTAGCATTTGGTCCTTAAATAACACTGGAAGTTAACGAATTTTTCTTAACTTATGTAATCATATGGTAAGTATGAGTGTGTAGTGCTGTGTTAGTGCGGTTGTTCTTGTTGGACATTTGTCAAAATAGAAGAGAAAAATAACAAGTGAACAAAAGTGAGGTTAAGTTTACAGCTTGTTTTTCTAAAATGAAAATTTGTCTTCGTTCTTAAAAATAACGAACGAAATTGGCTTTACGTTTTTGTAACGAAAAAATAAATTTTCATGTGAGTGTCAACGAAAGAGCTTTATTTTTCCATATATTTTTGGTTTTTAGAAAATGAATTCGTTCGTAATAAACGAAAGAAATGTCAGAAATAGACGATAGGCAAACCCCTTTCGTTTGCCCAAAAAACAACGAAAATTTTACCAAAATACGTAATAATATGTGGCCATTTGAGCCAGAATGTAATTCGCAATGCAAACCTTTAAATTTCTTGAGACATTGCATACAATTTTCATGTTGTTTTTAAAAAAACATTTTTTCATAATTTCAATTTTTTTCTAAAATTATTTTATTTTTGTTTATTTTTTAGGGTTAACACCAATCACCTTATTACTACATGAAAAAATATTTAAAAATTCAGTAATGAAATACGTAGGCAATAATGTTCTGTTACGATAGAAAAAGCTCATTTCATTTTAGACATTTTTAAACGAAAACTTTCAAATGTTTTATAAAAACCTAATTTTAAACTTGATCGTAATAAAATGAAATGTTCGTGTGAGAACTAAATTGTTTTAGAAAAACAGGCTGTTAATCATCATTCACGGCATTATTATTGTAATAAACAATTCATAAATATTATTGATTTACTAAAGAAAGTTTATGTTTTAATTAGATTTAAAGGAAAATTCTAAAGATTTAGCTTTTTTATGTCAAAAAAAAACCGTTAGAAATTTTTGTATAGAAATATTTGTAAACAAAATCAGGTGACCAGACTGCTAAACCAAACAATCCGGTTTATTAAAAATCAAAATGCACAAAATACTCTTATTTTGAAAGGGAATCGAAGAAAAGTGATAGTTTTTGTTTGTAGAATATTAACGAGATTTATTAAAATTTAATTTAATTAAAATCAGTTGTAAAAGAAAATAATAACAAACTACAATTATTTATTCTTAATCTTTATGTTTTTGCATCTTCAGTTACAAGAGTGTATTTTTTTTTTTCCAAAATTGGTCGAAAATTTTAGATCAAAAAATTGTTGAAAATTAAAGATTAATTGTTGATACGCAAATCAGTTAGTAGGGAAAATTTTATGAATAACTGGAACTGCATAGAACTGAACTAGTATTCAACTGGAACTGAAGTTAACGAGACGAATTTTTGTTGAAAATTAATGAATGATTTTTTGTGGGAAAAATTTTAGATAAATTCATCTTGTTTAATTCAGTTTAATTTAAATTTTATTTTTTTTAGTAAAAAAATAGTTTTTTTTTGTAGAAAGTAGATGTTTTTTAGATAAATGTATTTTTTTTTTTTTTTGAGAAAAGTGAAATTTTTAGGTCATTTTAAAATTTTGATCAAAATTTTTAAGAATTGAAATTTCTGTGAATAACAATCTTTTGATTAAATATTTAGTTTTCTTTAAAAATAAACAGTTTTCCTAAATTTGAACCGTAAAGTCAAGCTGCTTTGCTTTTTTTTTGCAAAATGTAAAAGTGTTTTAATTAAACGTTGATTTTTGAATAAAAATTTTATTTACACTTTATTTGGCGGAGTTTTTTGTGAAAAACGATTTATTGGTGAAAAGTCGAATTTAAGGTGTTTCTTATGAATTTCGATTGAAAAATAAGTGATATTTTTGTACCAGACCTGTCTCGTTTTAAAATTGAACTTCATTGATCTAGTTGTGAAGAACAATTGATCTTTGTAGTCATACGATATCGATCGAAATCTCCATTTAGATTCTATTGAGATTTCGATCGATATCGTATGCCGTAATTTGGGCCCAGATCTACAAACAATTTCCGTGGAAACCCATTTATTATGTTTAAATAAATTATATTTTTTTCCAAGTCTAATTTATGCAAGATTTAATATAAAGATACAGATAATATAATGTCATTAAAACACAGTTAACTTTAATTGTTTATAAACAATGATATTTTGTATTATATACACCATATTTTAAACATATTGAATATCAAAAAACACTTAGTATAAACTAGTTAATTAGTTTTTCTTTAATTTCTCCAATAACTCGGAGGCCTTTTCCAAATTAGCTTGCTTCTTAATGAAACAATAGCGCACGTAATTTTCACCCAAATTTTTATGGGATTCGGTGTAAAAGGCACTGGGTGGTATACCCTGAAGACCCATATTCTTAGTCATCCATTTGGTGAATTTATAATCACGGTATTTATCCGGTTCGGAATTAATATCAATTTTCTTTTCTAAAATTATATGTAAGAAACAAATAGAATTCTTAAATTAAGATTTTATTGGGTAATTACAAAATAAAAACTTACCCAAGTTAGTCCAATCAGCCAACATAAAATAGCCACCCTCCGGTATAGTGGGTTTCATACCCGCCTCGGTCAAAAATTTAGCCATAAAATCACGTTTTACTTGCAACTCACGTGGCAAACTCTTGAAGAAGCATTCATCCGAATCCAGACGTGTCATTTCCAATTCAAAACCTCTGGCTACAGCTTCCTGCAATGGGGTGGGACAAGTGTACACCGAATTTTGATGTACCATTTGCAGATTTCTTATTAAGTTAGCTGGACCATAAGCCCAACCGGTTTTCCAACCTGTTACCGAAAATGTTTTGCCGGCCGAACCAATGGTCACAGTACGTTCCCACATGCCGGGCAAAGTACAAATACGTATATGTTTATTATTCTCAAATACCATCCATTCGTATACTTCATCCGAAAGACAGAGTACATTCCATTTTTTACATAAATCGGCAATAAGTTGTAATTCTTGGAGATTGAAGACTTTTCCAATGGGATTGTGTGGGGTATTTAAGATTATCATTTTGGTTTTATTGTTAAAGAGTTTTTTCAATTCATCTTCATCTAGCTTCCAATCGGCGGAGGAAATGGTGCCTTCGGTTTTGGTCTGTAAAGGAAAAGAGGATTAGTTTTAATTTTAATATTAGAACAGAACTTAAACAGAAATATAATTAAACTAAAACTGAATCTACTTTTCCTAATAACGTTTTAAACATTAAAGGGGAAAATTGATTTGATATCTTAGATCTGGCAACTCTTGTTGTAGAAAAAGGATGTAAAAGAAATAAAGGAAATTGCAATTAGTTTGAACAGAAATTGCAATGCAATGCAAGTGTGTAAAAAAAGTTGCAAATACAAAATTTAAATTTAATTAAAAAATAAGTAACGAGATTTAAATTTTATTGTAAAAAAGTTTTTCGGTTCTGATTTTAAATATTCGGAAAAAGTTAGCAAAAAGGAAATAAGTGAAATAAAAAAGTTGTAAATTTAGTTAAATGAAAGTTTGTGGAAGTGTTTAAGTTTGTAAAAACAAAATGGCGGTTAAATTGGAAAAAGTAATATAAAAATGTTTAAAGTTAAAGTTTAAGATGAATAAATTTCAAAAAAGTTTTTAATAAGTTGGTTATTTAAATGTTTAAGAAAAAATAAGAGTGTGTAAGTGTAGTTTTGTTTTAATAATTACCGGTTTTAAGGGTATAAATCTAGCCACACCGCCGGCCATTTTAACCATGGGTTCATAGCAATCAAAAAATGGCTCAATGATAATAACTTCATCGCCCACATCAACATGACCCATAATGGAAGAATATAAAGCCTCATAGGCACCCGACGTAATGAGAATCTCATTTAAAGGATTCAATTCACGTTGCAGCAACTTGGAGTATAAAGTGGCGATGGCCTGTACCAAACGCATGTGACCCTAAGAAAAAGAAAAGAGGGTAAGTAAATGTTTAATAAAGATATCTATTAAGAGAAAACTTACAAAACCACGAGTATATTGATGCAATAAAGGATTTTCGTCTTGGGCTATGTCAGACAAAGCTTTTGTCACATATTCAGGTGCAGCATCATCGGGAAAACCTTGGCCCAAGTTTAAGGGTTTGTATTGCATGGCTAGAGCAATGTATTCATTCCTTATAATATTAAAATACAAAATTATATATTAGATTTTTTATTTCGCTTTTTTTCAATGTTTCAAATTACCAAACACTTGGCGTGCTGCCTTGTAATCTTTGGGGCAAATCAAATTTCTCCATTACGTTGCTGCTGCTGTTGGCACTACTATATTCACGTTTTGTCAAACACTGTTGTAGTAGAACTAGTCTATTAGATTTCGTTGTGGTAGATTTTGTCAACAACAATAAACTATTATTAAAAACTTTTAACATCTGTGTAAAATACAAAAATAAACACACAAAAAACTTGATTAAATTTTATTACAAAAAACACAAATTATGCGATAAGACCGCTTCTTACTTAAGACACAAAAATTTGTCATTTTTTGTGTAACAAAGCTTACTTTTTTCCTAATTTTAATATCTAATATCACAATTATTTAAATGCGTAAAATTTATAAATTTTAATTAATTATTAAATAAACTAATAATTTTATTGCATAATAAGCTGGCTTATTGTGCATATGTATATTGTTTTATTGGCAAACTGATAGCAACAAATATGTAAATAACAACAATTTATATCATGTTTTAGTAAAACAGGGTCCCGTCGATAAACAAAAGCTGCTGATTATAATTTTATAGTCTGCACCCTGTATTTAATAAAATAATTAAAATGCTCAACGTAGACAATTTGCCAAATCTAACTTTATTTACTTTGATTTATTATAAAATAATAGATAGGTTTTTGTTACAATATTCTTAAATATTTAATATATTATTGCAGTTTTCTTGAGTTTTCTACCTACAAAATACCTAGTTTTGTTCTATTTTCATTTATAAAGAGAGCAACAACCACAATAACAATAAGCTGACAA